TTTTGTTTGTTATTTAATCATCCCACTTAGTAAAGGGTCATCCTCCTTAGGAGCCCCTTGAGAATGAATGAATGTATTTTATAAAGAATATGGTATACTATTTTTTAATTTGTCATATTTATTTTTAAATGCATGAAATAGAATTTACCTTGATATTTTAAATACTGGATGAGATTTTTTTTTTGCACAATTCAAATAAAATCTGACATGCTAATTTAAAAAGAAAAGCATGAATGATTGAATGACTTAAATGAAATAAAGGAAAACCCTTCTCCCAATGCTCCTTACCTCCTCCTCTCCCTACCCTGGACGCCCCAAACCATGACGCTCAGCAGAGATTCCTCAAGCCCCAGTCTGATTTTTGAGCCCCTAACCTTGCTGATTTGTTTGCCTATAATTTAGTGATTCCCAGCCTTTCAGTGATGAAACACATTCTTTTTACAACAATACACACATTCCGCTTTTCTTTGCACCCCCAACCTGCACTTAAAAACTACAACAACATAGTTTTAAAATTGAATTTAAAATTAGTTTTCGTTGTCAATGGTTCAGGAACTCCTTGAGAAAACTGGAGACTTTCTGGCTTACAACAGTCCCTTTCTATGAAGTACAGAGAACAGTTTCTAGACAGGATGGATTTGGACCAAGCCTAAGGTTAGAGGTAGTGAGACTGCAGCTGGGCTGAGGACTGGGCTTGGGAGGAGGGGCTCAGGGGCTTACCAGACCCACTGTCATAAATCTCCCATTGCAGTTGCCCAGCTCTATTACTCATTTTTTTAATTAAAAAAATACGGTGTTTTATGTAAATAAATATCATAAAAATTTGAAAATGAATTAATCAAGAGGCAATATAAGTGCAGAGATGTCAAAACAAAGATTGAGTTTAGCAACAAGAACGTTGTACAAGGGGCCAAAATTTGGGTCTAAGCTCTCTAGAAGTCAAAACAGGGAGAAAGACCTCTTTGCTTTACACGACTTACAGAGTCCATGAGATCTCAACAACCCAGCTGTCCAAGAGAAGCCTGTTGCAGGAGAAGACACTGTGTAATGTCCAGCGAAAGAGGGTGTCTTACCCACTCAACTGTGGGCTCCCTGACAGCGGGCCAGCCGTCGGCATCCTGTCATCAGCGAGGAGGGCAGGTCAGCAGCGCCTCCCCTCTGTCACTTAGAGTTCTAACAGGAAACCGGAGACACCGCGGTTACACCATGCCATCGTCTCCCCTTTCCCCCCCTTTTTTGTTTCACTTTTTGTCCACTTGCATAGAATATTTTGATACAATGAAAACTGAGTTTTACTAATCTGTATTTATCGAGCACTTAAAATAGGAAAATGAGGCTTAAAACTGGCTTATTAATGAAATAATATATTTAAGAATCCAAGAAGGGGTCGGTGACTTAAAAGCTGATAGCTAAGTCTCATCACCTGGGGCCTCACAAGATCTCCTCTGGTTTTCTTCCATTCAGAAAACTTGTAGAGCACCTACTAGGTGCTCTCTCTGATGCTGAGCTCTGGAAAGAACTGTGTAACCATGATGCGCACAACACTTTGCTCCCCTCCACCCACCATTCAAAGAACTCGTGATCAGGTTGGATGAAGAACTCATGCAAAGTGACAAGCTCCTAGTTACATGCTGCTGACGAGGTTAGGAGGAGTAAGAGACATATTCTTCCCGAGAGACTGAAGGAAGGAAAGTGTGAGGGAAGGAGGATGACTTCTCAGTCTTGATTGATGGGCAAGATTTCAGCAGGCCATGGCACAGCCTGGAACTGACCAGATGTGGGCATCCATGTGTGAGCACAGTAAATGTGGGTCATGGGGAGAGATTAGCTGGAGATCAGGGTGACAAGGTGAGCCTGGGCCCAGTCACCTATAGGCAAACAGTCACCGATAAAAGTGGACCAACATATGTGCCAATTAACATGTCCTATATAACTATTTACAGTGCTTCCTTTCGGTCTCAACAGGGTCCAGATTTGGATGATCAGTTACATGACCACCCTACTTATACGGTGGTCCACTTTGCGCCTCTTCTTTTTTTATTCTGCACCAAAACCTTCCATTATGCACTGATCCTCACCTTTCTCCTATCAGGTGGGGAGACCGGGTTTTGAAGCCTGAGAGGCTATTCCAGGAAAAGAATTGAGACCACCAGGAAGGGGCATTCAGCTGCTGTTGAAGGGATCCTTCCAAGCAAACAGAACTGAATGCACTTGAAAAATGTGCCTGGCTGAGACAGGAGTCCCGTTCCATCCCAGAAACCTTACCAACACTCTCAGTTAGAATTTGTGTAACCTCATTCATTTTCCCATAATATTCTGTTTGAGGTTCTGTGATGTTTTCACAGTGAGTAATTTATATTTTGGGGGTGTCTTACCCACTCAGCTGTGAGCCCCAATCATCCATCTGTGTACCCATTGCTCCGCTGCTCACCTCTATGCATCACCATCGGGATGAGCCCCACATCGTGACAGCTCACTGTGGTGTGCCTTGGTACAGGCGCTGTACCAAGGGATCTCCTAGTATTATCTCATTTAATCCTTGTAACAGTTTTTGACATTGGTTTCGGGGCTATCCCCATTTTATAGATGAGATTAGTTCTCAGAAAGGCGAGACCATTTGCTCATGGTCAGAGAGATGACAGACAGCTGTGCTGGTTCTTGAGTACAGGCTTGTCTGATTTGACTCTGGAATCCCACGCTTAAAGCAGTGGCAAAGCAGAACCCGTAGCATTAGTGTCATCGATTTCAAATTTAGAAAGGCCAGGCTGTTCTAAAGTGCTTTACATCCATCAGCTCATTTAATCTTCTCAAGTAACCTAGGAATTTAACAGGCTAACCCCAATTTTTTTTGGTGGGGGGTGAGTATTAGGTTTGTTTGTTTGTTTGTTTGTTTCTTTATAATGAAGATCCTGGGGCTTGAACCCAGGACCGTGTGCATGCTAAGCAAGCACTCTACCACTGAGCCATATCCTTACCCCAACTCCATTTTATAGAGACACAAGAAACTTCCAGAGGCCAGTATTTGCCCTGGACCAAGCCTACAGCTTTACTGCTATGCTCAGCAAAGAACTAAATGAAATAATCTATTCAAAGGGCAAATTCTACTCAGTAGGTACTAGCCATTATTATTAATATTTGAGTCATGTAACTTTGGGCAAGTCAACCTCTCTGAGCTTCTTAAAGATGTTTCCCCATCTTGAGCATGAGAACTACTTTCCTACCTTAAGATTTATGAAGATGAAGCGAGATGCTTTTACAAAGGCGTTTTTCACGTAGAGAAAGCCCCTATAGACGGTAGTGACCGGAAATCTGGAGAAGGCTCAGGAGAGTCGCCAGTCAGTCCTTAGCTGACAGTTGACTCCAATGTGCCCACGTTAGACCAGTAGGAAAAATGGTCTCAAACATCCCAGAATTATTAGGATTTCAATTGTCCCTTCCTCTCAGGACTCACAGTTTGTACCAGTACTACTTCATCAGTACCTTGATACATTCCAGCCTGTAGCTAGAGTAGTTGAAACACCAAGAAGTAAAATAACTCACTTAGGTCATGGAAATGACCTTGTCAACCCTGTGAGGCCACACTTCCCCACTATATAGGGTCTCTCCACGGGCTGTCAGAGCTGGCTCTAACATTCACACTTTGAAGAGCCCATTTGGGTAAGAGCCTACATGCCCTGTGGTTCTAAGATTAGGGTTTAACGGGACACCTCAGGTTGTCTTTCTTACAACTACAGACCCAGAGTCTGGGTTTAAATTGTGATGAGGCCTGTGTTCCAACAACGTTACAAAACTGAAATCTGTCCTCACAGGAGTGCTGTTTGGAGTTAAAGAATGAAAATCTACTCTTGGGGGAAGGGTGTAGCTCAGTGGCAGAGTGTGTGCTTAGCATGCACGAGGTCCTGGGTTCAATCCCCAGTACCACCACTAAAAAATAAATAAATAAACCCAATTAAAGGATGAAAATTTACTCTGGTGTACTTGAGAGAAACAGGCCCTCCAAAGGGAAGACTCTTCCACCGGGGGTGACATAGAGGGCTGAGGACTCAGTTTTCCAAAGCTGAGCTTCATGGAACATGGAATAAAATAGAGGTTTTCCCTTGGCTTTCGAATGTTTTGACTGTGATCAAACTTTATATCATACTTTACATTGTGACCCAGTATATTGATATATATATATATATATATCTCAATATATATATATATATATATATATATATGATCAATGATATATATATATATATATAATGTATATATAATACATATATTAAACCATACAAAACTGCCACTTTTTGTGAGTCAAAAACAATTGGATATGGAAAACTTTATATGATTATCTTATCTCACAAAATAATTTTGTGTAGTTATTTCATGCAATGCACTGTATTTTCTGTCTTTAAAAAAATTGCTGATTAGAACCTAATGTCTTTCATCCTCCACAAATAGGTCAGACCCTGTGTGAATTAAAAAAAACCTCTGACTTAGACCCAGGCTGAAAGAGAACTTTTTGAGTTCAAGGCAATGATTCTGGGAAAAAAATTGATAGAATGAATTTTATAACAATTACCAAAAAAAAAAAAAATCCAACTCCAAAGCTACATAATATGTCCTGGGGTCAATGCTGAGTTTGTCTTCTCTGTTGATTCCACACCCCTCCTCCAACCCCCTACTCCATCCCTGCCAAAGAACACCAGGAATACACCTGTATTTGAAAAAAAAATCTGGGTTTATTGGTTCCTTACAACAAGGGAGGCGCCCAACATGGGTGGGGCCTCTTGGCAAGAGGGTGTTAGGGAAAGAGATTCTTAACAGGCCTTAAGCTTGTATTAGGCGATTGGGAGAAGGGCTTGAGGAAGCGCAGTTCAGTCCAGGTACCTTCGGGAAGTGGGGCCATTTCTATGGTTAGGTAGCTTACATCTTTTTATCTAGGCAGTAGAAGAAACAGAATGGGCCAAAGCTCTCACTAGTAGTGATTAAGCAGGACTGTTTGGTTAGTTTAAAGTCTAGACGGAATCCTTGCCATTTTCTTTGCAGAAGACAGAGCCGGGCCCTGTAGGGGTTTCTGTGGCCCCATAGGCCTTCTGTTCCTCTGCCCCGATGTCCTTCTGTGATCTCTTGAAACCCCCTTTCTTGTAGTACCTGAAGGCATAGTTTGCCCCCAAAGCAAGAACCACCACAGCCACAATGGCACCCATCCAGGAGCCAATAGTGGCGGAAACACTGCGTCCAGAGTCAGCCTGGCTCAAGAGTTTGACCAACAGGGATGGATCATTGATGCTGGCTGGCTGCCAGCGATCAGAGCCTTTCTGCTTCACCCAGAACAGCTGACGGCTGGAGTCAATCAGGACAGAGAGCCTTTGGGCTCTGCTGTTGTTGAGCCAGGGCGGGCGGGGAATGAATGGGGGTAAGCGGACACCTGCCATCTGCTGGTCCAGCAAGATCCCAGCCTTGAGGCAGTAGAGGACTTGGCAGCCATCGTTGAGGTAAGCCTGGTGTTGACTATACCCTTCTGGGCATTTCATGGGATATTTTGTGGAGCTGTCCTGATAGAACACCTCCTTCAGGATCCCAGGGCTCTGGCCCTTGGTGAAGCCAGCTAAGGGGTTGCCAGCCTGGCAGCTAAAGAAACCCCCGAACGGGACTGCATGGGCTGAACCCAGCTCTGCGTCAGTACTGACACATACCTTGAGGTCGCCAAAGAGTGTCAGCGGGTAGAAGTGGGAAGGGCAGATCTGGGACCCGGTGAATGGGTTTGGATTGCCTGGGCTGTAGAGGCCTCCGAAGAGGAAGCCTGCAGTGTTGAGCCGGAGGCCCCGCGAGGGTGCGCACCAGGAGGCAGTCAGGCGCACGGTGTGGCGATGCTCGCGGTTGGCGCACACAGTGGGGCAGCACTTTAAGATGAGCCAGCAACTGTGGCACTGCGGCCGGCACTCGGGACCGACCTGGCTCCACGTCTTCAGCTTGGTGCTCAGGTAGCTGACGGTGTAGTTTGCCGGGCAGGAGGTTTTGCCAGTCAGCGGGTTTGGGATGTGGTAGGTCTCGCAGAGGCTTTTGGCACCCGGTTGGGACACAGGCTGACATTCCTGGAAGACGCCCCCGAAGGTGAAGTTGGCGTGGCTGCGGCTGCTGCACGAGCCGTCGTCCACATTGGCCCCGGGGTCGAAGTCGGGCGAGTCGAGCCTCATGCATCCCGGATGCGTGTTGATGGCGTAGTAGCGGCGGATGGCGCCGTCCACGGCGGCTGCCAAGCGTCGCACGGCGGGCGTGGGGAGCTCGGGCAGTGCCTCCGGCTGGATCAGCGCCGGCAGGGGCAGGCCCGACTTGCCGATGGCCACCAGCCGGTTGCTGATGCCTTTCTGCCACTTCTCCAAGGTGATGCCCGGGTAGAAGGGCACGCCGCCGTGGCTGCGCGTCTCGGAGGCCACCGTGTGGCGCAGGTAGTTGTCAAGGAGCTGGTTCTCCGCCTGCCAGGATACCCCGGTTCCCACTTTAACCTTTTTAAAGAACAAGGCCGAGGCGGCGAACGTGATGTTGATCCTATCTTGGGTGTTACTGCCCACCAGCTCCCGCTTCAGCTGGTCCTCCTGCACCAAGGTAGCCCCGGCCTCCACCTTGGTGAGGACGTGTGTGCCATACCTAACCACAAGCATCTCCGCCAGGTACTCGGCCTCGCGGGTCTGATTGTTCTCCAGGTGGTCGCTGATGGTCAGGAGATGCTGCCGAAAGATGGGCTGGAATTCAGTGTTCTCTGAGGCCTTCACAGAGTAGATGTTGTGGCGGACCTCCACCCTGCTTGTTAACGTCTGGTGCTCCAGGTTGTACTTCTTGACCTTCTGGCAACTGAAGGAGAACTTACCGTTGAGGATGGAGAGGAAGGAGACCTCATTGTTGATGGAGGCCGCCCAGGAGTCTGTGTAGTTGACCCAGTGGTCAATGAGCTTGGCGCGGGTCTCCACGATGCTCTCCCGCCACGGCATCACCTGCGTGTGGTCTGGGATGAGGTACTCGCCGTCCTCGGTGGTGAGGCACTGAGAATAGTCTCGCTTCAGCACCAGCTCCAGCTCGACGTTGCGCAGGTTGTCCCAGCCAGAGCCCGGCAACGCCCCCAGCACCGACACGTTTAATTTCTGCTTGCATTCTTGGAAGTCGGCCATCCCCTGTTCCCCCAGGACACAGCGCCCAGCCAAGAGCAGGACTAGCAGGGGCGCGAGGCGCTGCGCCATGGCAGGAGGAGAGCTTTGCCTGGGCAACCTGCCGCCCCTCAGCTCCTCCATGGCTTGGGGTCCTGGAGGGGAAGTCTGGGCTGGGGACTGAAATATTCAGAGCAGCAGAGCAGTAACTCAGCCCAACTCAGGCCCCTCCCCAATGAACAGTCCCCTCCCAGGCGCCTCGCTTTGAAGTCTTTACGGGAAAGGATAATAAGCAGGTCTCTTATCAGAAGCACCAAGGGGAGTGAAACTGATTTCAGGTTTGGGGCCAGGGATGGGTAGATTAGACTGGTAGAACGTTCCATGCCCAAAGGCCATCTTCAATTCATTTTGATAAAGAAGAGCAAACCTTATCCACTGAATACATGGTATTTTGGTCTCTCACCTGCTCCCCGCCACAGGACACAGGTAGGGTTCTGTTTTTGACTGCAAGTATCAAGCTCAGCCTGGGTGAAGAATTAGCCCAGGAGAACTGGGTCTTCCTCCGGGTGGCCAGCCAGCCTGTGGGCACTGTGGCTGGGAGGTTGCACTCACTCCAGGCTGATTTCCTTGTGGGCCTTCAGCAGACAGTCCAGACAAGGGCCCCTTTAGACTGGGGCAGGCTCAGGGCAGCTCTAAAGAATCAGGGCTGGCTGTGCCAATGCTCCAGAGCCCTGGCCTATGGGCAGGACAGAGCATCTCAGGAGGGCTCAGCGCACTCCACGGACAGTCCAGGGCCCAAGAATCTTTCTCAGCCTATCCCATCTGCTTGGAGTTCTCTGGAGCCCCTCCTCCTGATTTAAGCAGCTGCTCTAAATGACTCTTTGGGTTAGTGCTTTATAATCCTATTTTAACCTCTCATCAGTCTCTCTTTCTCTCTTTTTTAATAACTATTTTTTTCTTGGCAGGGGAGGTAATTAGGTTTATTTACGTATTTATGTATTTATTTATTTTCATGGAGGTCCTGAGGATTGAACCCAGGACCTCATTCATGCTTAGCAGGTACTCTACCACTGAGCTATACCCTCCCCGCTCACCAGCCCCTTTTCACACATTAGGAGACAGGCCTAAAGAAGTCAAGTGACATCATGAGTACACAATGCAGCCAGCGTTTGAATCCAGGTTCATCTGATGCCAGAGAACCGTTTCCATCCACTGATCTGTGCTCAGGGTCTCTTCTTGCTATTCAGTGTCAGAGCCTTCTTGACTTCTGCCCTCCTAGGGCTCTTGCAGTTCAAGAAGGCTCCTGGAAAGGGCATATGAGATCACTTAACCCAGTGGTCTCGCTTCTAGTTACGTCTGTTGGCGGTGGTGTGATTGGAGCAGAGGTCTTCTCTCTCCATCATGTACGGGAGAGGTGGCACTGCCCAGAGGAATGGGGGCTGACCTTAACTTCTCAAGATCTGGGCTCTGTCATTCATCAGTTGAGCCCTCCCACTAGCGTGGTTTTCTTCCCTGAGTCCCACCGCCCTCATCTGTTAAACGATGGAAAAAATACAAGGTTCTTCAGGCTTGAGCTATTGGATATAAATCACCCAGCAGACTGCCTGGCACAAAATAGGATGTTCTTTCGGTAAGATGGGTTAAGTGACTTGTTCAAGGTCTGAATTTGCACCCAAGCTGGTCTGAATCCAAAGCCTAGTGCTCTTTCTACCACCACATGGTTTTCTCCGATCTCTATTTTTGCTTTCTTTGGTTAAAAGGTGTCATTCATTTCTCACAAGGTACTTTGGGATGGATGATTTGCTAAAGAGAAGATTGTTCTCTGGGGAAACGTAAGGATTTTCCCCTCTCTTGGTGTATCTTCCTGTGACGGGGACAAGTAATCATACTGCCTTCCCACATTCTGGGCTTGTGACTTAGGAACACCTTATGTCGTACACTCAGAGGAGGCTGGAAATTCATCATGTTTGGTGACTGGTCTTCCCCAGGACCTGGGGCAGGTTTGCAGGCGTTTTAAGAGCAGTGGATCCAAGAGAAGATACACACGCTTTTCTTGAATTGTGGCTAAGTGTTTGCTGATGTGGCTCAGATGCCAGCGGGAAGAGGGCAAGGAGCACAGTGAGGATGTTTGGTTACCACTCCTGGGCAGCATCAGCTGAGACCCGCGGATTAAGAGGGCCAAACAGTGCCCAGCACTCATATCCCCCAACTGTTCAGAGGCAGCCTAAGGAACACACAGACAGGGGTAGCCTTGAGTCAGATACCAAGGCCCTGTGGGACCTCGGATAAGTGTGACTAACTGCAAAACAGGAACAAATAGGACTTTTCTAGATATTAACTTTCAAAAATCACGACAAATGATTGTTATGGAACAAGAAGAATCAAGAGATTAGATGAAGTGAAAAAGACCTCCTTCACCCAGTTCTGCTCCCCGCTGACCCTTCCATGCTTGTTTCCTTGGCTGAACCCATGCATGTTTTCTTTTACAAAGGTGGTGCCAGGCCATATGTTGATTTTACCAGAGAGAAACCAAGCTGCACAAGGTCACACAATGTCAGACTGCAGCAGGAACAGATCTGAGTCCCTGCCTCTTGACCCCCAGTCCACCCCTCACCATGCCTCACAGCCTCCTCGGATGGTGCGAATTTCAATTGAGAGCCCCAGGAGACACAGATGCAGTTATCCTGGTGGATGAGCAGAGGAAAGGGTCCAAATTCCCTGCACATTGCAGGTGAAGCCAGTCAGAACTGCCACTGGCTGCCAGTGGCCTTCCTGAGGTTACTTGCTAAATATTGGCCCTGCCTGTAAGGGTCTCATTGTCCAACCCAAGTTCATGTGCCTCATGCACAGTGAGGCCAAGCAAATGTCAGAGTTTGGAGCAGAGAGAGGTTTATTGGAGGGCACCAAGCAAGAAGAATGGGCAGCTCATGCTCAGAAGACCCCAAAATCCCCCACAGATTTTGAGGAAGAGATTTCTACAGGCAAAATGTGGGGTGAGGGCGGCAGAGTGTATGACTTTCTTCCGGTTGGTTGGTGGGGAGGTAACAATCATGCTTCGTGAATCTCAACCTTCTGGTTCCAACTAGTCTGGGGTCTGTGTGCTGTGGTCAGCAGGTGGTCACCATCCTTCACCTGGGTGGGGGCGGGGTCTTAGGTTCAGAGATGTGTATACGATGGTCATCTCTGTCCTTTCAGGAGAAACTAGGAGTCTCGTGTCTGTATCAGACTATTAACTGATCAAGCCTGCTCTTTGAACTTGGGGAAGGCCTAGAAGACTGAAATCTTTTTTTTTCTTTTTTCCTACAAACAAGAAACAGGGGACATGGTGGAGCTTTTGTACCTGGAAGGCCCTGCAGGGTCTTGTTTGATTTCAGTCTTATTTCATACCCTACATATGATGCTTTGTTGAGGAGGGAATACATGAATGAGTGATTGAGGATGCAAAGTGGTTCCTGAAATATCACCATAAAGGAAGATACTCCTTTCAATAGAATCACATTATTAATTGCGTTATCTATCTGTATGTATTTTAATTTTATTTTTTGAAGTCTATTTGATTTACAATGTTCTGTTAGTTCCTGGTGTATAGCATAGTGATTCCGTTATATATATTCTTTTTCTTTTTTTTAATTGTTGAGAAACAGTGAAAACAATTTTTTAGTCTTATTTTTTATTGACGTGTTGTCAATTTACAATGTTGGTTTCAGGTGTACGGCAAAGTGATTCAGTTATACATATAACATACATACATACATACGTATATATTTTTTCTTTTCCGTTATGGCTCATTACAAGAAATTGAATATAGTTCCCTGTGTTATACAGTAGGTCCTTGTTGTTTCTCTGTTTTATATATAGTAATGTATATCTGTTAATCCCAAACTCCTAATCTACCCCTCCCCTTCTTTCCCCTCTGGTAACCACAGTTTTCTATATCCCTGAGTCTGTTTCTGGCTTCTACATAAAATTTATATCCTTTTTTTTTTTAGATACCACAAATAAGCAACATTAGGGGCAGGGTACAGCTCAGTGACAGAGCACGAACTTAGCATGCACAGTCCTGGGTTCAATCCCCAGTACCTCCTCTAAAAATAAACAAATAAATAAACCTAATTACCTCTTCCAATAAATACATAAATAAGCAACATCATATGATATTTGTCTTTGACTTACTTCACTTAGTATGACAATCTCCAGGTCCATCTATGTTGCTGCAAACGGCATTATTTTATTCTTTTTAATGGCTGAGTAGTATTCCATTGTACATATATACCACATCTTCTTTATCCTGTCATCTGCTGATGGACATTTAGGTTGCTTCTCTCTATATTCTTAAAATAAGACAGGGGCCAAGTAATCAATACTGCTTGAAAACAATCGTGCTGCTTGTCAAAGAGAAAGAGGCCATAATGAAGAGGAAAAGAAGCAGAGATGGGGAGTTAGCTGGAGTTTGGCAGAACTGGATTTGGGGTAGACCTTGGCACTTAGTGGCTGTGTGATCTTAGGCGAGGGACTTAATCTCCTTGAACTTCTTTTCTGTAAACATCTGAGAATGTGAGGGGGAGGAGAAGAGGAGTGATTTAGCCAAGACGACAAGGGTCAAATGGGCTGAAAGATCTGGGGGACTTTTAGTCTGGTGGGTTTAATGGTTCAATATCAGGGGCAGCCCAGGGATGCTGAGCTGCAGTCTTAAGGCCTTCCTCACCCTGAAGTCAAGCTGATGGGGATTCTGGGTTAAACTTCTCAGTAACTCCTATTCTCTTTGGGTGCATCCCACCCTGACCCTGCCACCCACACCCAAGAATCATCTGATCAAGGGATGTGTAAGGTCAAAGAAACTTCCAGGTCCCGCTCCTCCCTTCCTTCTGAAGGCACCTGGCAATCCCTGCTTCCTGCACTGTCCCTGCCTTTCCTGTGATAACTTTTCTTCAGGATTTTTCCTGGGTTTGCCTCACCTGGCAATGGAAACACGTGTTCTCTGCAACTTTGCTTGGAGAAGACCCAGACTCCTTAAAGAGATGAGGAAAACCGGCAGGGGATACAGGATCTAGAAGAACCCCGATCAGCATCACGGAATTAACCTTGTCTCTTAACCTGCAGTGGTTCAGTGCTTTGTGGGGGAGGAAAAATAATCTTCTCTCCAC